TTATAACGTAACCAACTAAAAAAAACTAAAACGAACACGTACGTACCGACCGACTACGCGACTACTACACTTACGTACTACTACACACGACTACGCTCTCTCTCTCTCTCTCTCTCTCTCTACCCATCCATCCTTCCTCTCTCTCCCTACCACCCATTCATCATTCTCTCTCTAACAAACAATCCAACCCCCTCCTCTCTCTCTCTCTCCACACTCCCCAGCAGCCTTGATCTTCTTTCTCTCTCTACAAGCACCAAAACAGGAAGACAGATTAAAAAACAAAAGGGAATTGAGCTAAACATAGAAATGAAGGATAAATTCAAGACCAACCAACAAATGCAACTCTTTCTCTCTCTAAAATAGCATTGAATTAAGCAGAAGCAGCGTGGTTGTCCCCCTGCCATGTCCAAACAATATCCTTCAGCGCTGGTCTCAATTCCTTCCTACAGAACTGCTCATACTCCAACGTATCACCACCTCCTTTCTTGAGCTCCACCACCACAAATGAAGGTGTAACTGCAAATATCTCAGCCTCGATCGCCAACCTCCCTTTCCGCCCGTTCTCGCTCCCCTGCAATTTCACCACCTTCTCATCCTTGCTCTTTCTCACACTGAACTTGTTCCCTCTCTTCGCCACCTCCTCCAGCTTCGACACTATGCTGCTCGGCCTCTCCTTGGAAGTAAACCTCAGCTCCTCTTTCTCTCTCTTCTTCTCCTCAAACAGAGGGGAGAGATCAAATCCTTGAGAGAGAGAGATTATGTGGAAAGCATTGTAGAACTCTGGTCTGGACTTCTCTTCCTCCTCCACCAATGGTGGGGCAGGGGGCAATTTGGTCTTTTTGAACCACGAGGTCTCCATTAATTTAGCTGTGGTTATTCGAGTTGCAGGATTAGGGTCCAGCAACCTCAGTATGATCCGGCGGCTCTCCGGTGAAATCCAGGGCGGGCACTTGAAATCTCCTTTGTAAATTTTGCGATACATGGCCACCAGATTATCGTCTTGGAAGGGCAAAAACCCCGCCAAAAGGACAAAAAGGATAACCCCACAGGACCAAATATCGGCTTTAGCCCCGTCGTAACCCCTCTTCCCTAAGACCTCGGGTGCAACATAGGCAGGGGTACCACAGGTAGTGTGCAAAAGACCATCCTGCCTTAGGTGGTCCGGCAGTGCACTGAGGCCAAAATCGGTGACTTTGAGCCGGCCCTCCTCAGCGAGCAAGAGGTTCTCCGGCTTCAAATCTCGATGGTACACTCCCCTACTGTGGCAGAAATCGACGGCTGAGATCAGCTGGCGAAAATAGGCCTTGGCCACCTCTTCTTTGAGCCTGCCCTTCGCCACACGTGCAAAGAGTTCGCCCCCTTTTACGTATTCCATGGCGAAGTAGATCTTGGTTTTGGAGGCCAAGACCTCGTGCAGTTCTACAATGTTAGGGTGTTTCACCATTTTCATGACTGAAATCTCTCTTTTAACTTGCTCCATCATCCCCACCTTGAGGACCTTCTCTTTGCCCACAACTTTCATGGCGACGCATTTGCCTGACTGTAAATTTTTGGCGTGGTAGACTTTGGCGAAGGTGCCATGGCCTAGGAGGCGACCGAGCTCGTATTTGCCGTGGAGGGCTCCGCACGACTCGGGTTTCGACTCAGTCGAGTCCATCTTTAGGGGTTTGGACATTGGGGGATACGCTCTTTATCAGGATAATGAGGTTTTCTTGCGACTGGTTTAGGTTTTTTGGGGTTTTTCGTTGTCTGGTTTCCTGAAGTGGGCTTTCTTGAGTTGGGTTTTTGGATGGGTGAGAGAATAGGGTTTGTTTCAAATGGGTTTAGAGAGAGGGGTCTTTCTGAGGTGGGTATTTGGAAGAAGAGAGGGTAAGTTTTTTTTCCTTTTGACGTGGGTTTTTTGGAGAGTGAGTGATTATGGTTTTTGGGTCTTTGGAGGGAAGTGATTAGGATTTTCTGGGTTTTTGGAAGGGAGAGAGGCTGGGGTTTTTCGAGTGGGTTCTTAGAGGGGGAGAGAGAGATTAGGGTTTTGGGGACTCACCCGTCTTCAACGTGCTTGCGATGACAGTTCCGGTCATCGTTGCCTTTCTTTTTGCGAAAGCCTTTGGTTTGGCTTCTGTTTCTTCTGATGTGTCCTTTAATGGAGGTTTCAAAACGGCGGTCGAACATCATTTTGCAGCATTCCCTGAGAGCTCTGGTTCTCCAGTCTCTCCTCTCGCCCTCCTCTCTCCTCTTTTCTCAAGCTTTTTTTTTTTTCTCTAGGTTGGGTGGCTTCGCAACTGGTGTTTATAGTAGTAGATCGGCCGATATTGATCTCTGCTTTTCTGGCTTCCTATCTATGACTCTTTTGGCTTTTTCTCTCTATTATTTGCACCCTAGTTACCTATGTATTGACGCTCTCATTTTTCTCTCTCCTGCAGGCGGCTTTATGCGTGAGTTGGGGACGCGGTTCTCCCTCTTTCTCTCTCTAGAACCCTAAAGGCGGTTCAAGACATGTGGGTCTGCAACTTGGAAAGAACGTGTGTTTGGGGTGAAGAAGAGACGAAAAGAGCAGGAAAGAGTGGACAAAGAGGGAGAGGGAGAGAAAGGTAAAGAGAGAAAGAGGGGAGTTATTTAATGGGGTAAGGGGTTAAATCCGACAGGTGATTATTTTAAGAGAGAGAAAGAAAATGGGGCCCCTCCGAGACACGTACGGATTACGCCAGAGCAACGGCCACCTCGTCCGCCAAGCCCAATGTTAATGGTTTGAGCGATTTGGGACGGAAGCTGTTGACACCTGTGGAACCCACCACCCATCAGGGTAGGTGACGCCTCGTGCTGGTCCTTTGTCTCCGGCTAAAAGAGAGCGGGGTTAGTAACGGCCCGGGTGGACCAGTCCTGCTCGATCAGCTCTACCCTAAAAATGTAGGGCTTGGGCAACATACCGCCCGATGGCTGGGTTCCAGTGTGGTCTGGTTCGGTCTTGCTCGACTGACAAACTCGCCCGATGTTCAGGTTTTAGTATGGTCTGACCATTCTCATTATTGTTATTATTATTATTTTATTTATTTATTTTTTTTTTAAGCTGGGGGACCGGTACCAGTGTGGTCTTGTCCGATATGGCCCAACTCTTTTATTTATTTATTTATTTTTATTTTTTTAAGCTGGACTGGGCTTGGGCCTATTCTATGGGCACCAGAATGCCCGATAAAATTTGGGTCGACCTGCTGTCCCGATAGGCCAACCCAACTTGGGTCCAGCTCTGGACACTATTTGTCTGATGTGGGTCCAGTCCGGATTTAGTCCATCTTGGACCGAATTGAGTCGGGTCTCTTTATCTCACTCTCATCTTACGCTCTCTCAACGCAGAAAGATCTCTCTCTATATTTCCATACGAAAATCTCTTCCTCCCTACTTCTCTGAGTTCCATTCTATAGAAACCTTTCCCTTCCTTCTATTGCCTTTTAAAGAAGATTTTAGCCATCATTCAGAAAGAAAAGATTTTAGCTGCCATTTATTTAATATGAAATTTTATGAAGAAAAAGGGTTAAAAAGTGTGCAAAGTTCTATTCCTTTTTGAAGTCCCAAGTGGATGTTAGAAAAAAAAGTGTTTAAACTTTATAAAATACAAGACAATGGTGTGGTGTCTCAAGTGTGTACAAAATTACATATATTTGTTTTAGTGTTATTAGGATGGAACTGGCTTCCAAACCAATGAGGGGTGGTCTACTAAAACGAATAAAGATATTAATAATAATTTAAAAGTATAAATTATATTAAAATATGTTAAAAACTGCATTTCTATATATTTGGGTTTTAGGTTCATAAAATATTATTTCATAATACTGTAGAGAACTCTTTATTTATTGATTAATTAAAAATATACAAGACTATGAATAAATATATGGGTAATAACAATTAAAAATATATACCAATGGTTATGGATAGACATCACCTAATCTTATCAACCGATATGTAATAGTAACAACCTATATCCATATTGTAGCACACTCCCCTTATAATTTGATGAGTGAGTCTCTTCTTATCTATACCTAATATTATGAATACATATCCTAATCTTATCATGAGATATACTATATACTGATGTATATCAGTATTTTAACACTCCCCCTCAAACTCAAGATGCTTCATATCCTAACAAAATACGGAATTGTATACAACCATACTACATGGTGGTTACAATTATTTACAATCATCCGATGTAAAATTTGATGGCTTGGATATGTCACAAAGATTAAAAAAATTTCTTTAAAGTTTGAATTTGATCAATGGAATAATTGGAGCAACCCAATTTGATCCAATGGTTCAAATTAATGTGACCATTTTGTATCAAATGCAAATAGTCTCATTATATATTTTCCTTGAAAATATTTACTCGATTCTAATTAACCGGTCAAAATCGACCATTGATTGGTTAAAGCCAATTAGATCAATTTTTACTTTAGACCAGACAAATCAAGCCACCGATCAATAATTAGACATGCCAATTGAGTCTGGTCTAGTCATGTTACATAGATCTCCCTTATTGACAATTATTGTCATTGGGATGCTGTTGGGGACAATATTATGTTTCACTATTTCATCACAAATTTATTTGGTAATTGTTGGGCCCTTAGAGGTGTGGCAATGGTTTGGGGTGGCCCAACCCAACCTAATTGGCCTAGCTTAAAAAACTAGGGCATGAGTCACAAAATGTTGCCCGAAGGCTAAGCCTGGGCTAAGCCAAGACAGCCCCCAGGTCCCTAGCCATTGCCAACCCTAAGCCTTAGAATATTAAATTAAAATATTTATTCTGAAATAATTCTATATTGACATTAATAAACATTAGAATATTAAATTAAAATATTTATTCTGAAATAATTCTATATTGACATTAATAAACATTAATTTATTAGGGTGCGATTTGTATAGAGCCTAGGCTATAAACAATCAAAATAAATTGCACCTTCAAATAGTATCAAGAAATATGGTTTCAATACTGGAAATCTTTGTGATAGCCTTAAAATATATTTTCATCCCTAATTATAAAAGTTAAAGCTTCAAAATTAGTGTAAATCGAATGTCTTGAAAATTGACGGTCCAAAAATGAATTACAAGATGTACTATTTCCAAAACTTGAAATCCATTTTTTCTCGTGTCCATGCATTCTGAGGTCGAGATGGTCAATTTGAGGATACTTGAGCATCAAAACAACCTCTCCTAATGACAATTTTCAGGCGCGCCCTAATTTAATTGTTTAGAGCCTCGCACTTATATAAACTTTTTCCAATTTATAATACACAATTTGAAATAGATGTGTTAAAAACTTTATAAATGATAAAGTTGATAAAAATGTATAGTGTATCAAAGTCCAACTGTGAAATCAAAGTCAAAATGTAAAAGCATTGTACTATCCAACTAAATAGCTTTAATTCACATATTCATTATCAATTCCTTGCAAACTGCCCCCTTGTTTAAATCTTTGCAAATTTCTGATATGTCATTTCATGAATTCATGTGAGCTGTCTCATCTATAATCCCGAATTATCATTCGGGTTGCGTCAGTTCAACGAATAAATATAGTATGTGATATTGGCATTTTGCAATTTTTAAGTAATGGTGCGGTTTGCATAAAGCTTACCTTCAAATAGTGTCGAGAACTGTGGTTCAACACTGAAAATCTTTGTGATAGCCTTAAAGTATATTTTATATTTATTTATAAAGTTTAAAGCATAAAAAATAGTGTAAATCGACATATCTATGAAAACTTTAAAATCTTGAAAATTGACGGTCTATAAATGCATTACAAAATACACTATTCCAAAACTTGAAATCCATTTTTTTTCTTATCTCATGCATCTTGATGTCGATCAATTAGAGGATATTTGAGCATCACAACAATCACTTATAGTGAAATTTTTGAGGTAGGCTCTAATTTGATTGTTTAGAGCCTCAACTCTACATAAACTTTTCCATGACAATGTTTATTCTCATATTCAAATAAAGATTTTTTACTTTACATTCAATTATCATATTATTAAAAAGGCTTTTATCATAATAATATTGGAGCCTCGAAAAGTATGCTAAATTAAATTTCCAAGATATTATTAAATTCGTTACCGATATATATTAAAACTTGTCAAGATAAAGTAAAAATGAATAGAATTATAGAAAAAGTGCACGTCTCTCTCGAGCATTATGTTTTCCAAGCTCTCTCTTGCATTCTCTCTCAATCGAAAAAAACAAATTTATCTTTCCTCTATTTTAACTCTCACATACTCTCCATATTCTTTTTTTTTTTTTTCTTTTTTTTTGGGTTTGTTTTCTTTGTTCTTTTTTTTTTTTCTGACCTTTAACTAACCCTCTATTTTATTTATTTTTTGAAAAAATTAAATAAGAATAAAAATTGAGATGTAGAACTACAAAAACCCTACTGCTACCACCTTGACCCCAGCCCAATTCCTTGCTAGCCAGACCCAAGCCCGATTCCTAGCTAGCCGCCTCTCTTACAGCTATCTGCCGGACCTTTTTCCAAAGAAAGACTTGTGCCACCAATGAAATAATCTTTTGAACTTTTTTGCATGTTGGGAGCTTCTATGACATGCTTTTGTTTACTAGGGTTAAAGTTTTGATAAGCAATATTTAAAAGAGAAGAATTGATATGCTTCTATTGCTTTACACTGTCTTGTATAAGTTACCAGCACAACATCCAATATTTGTGGGATTGTGCAACATCCTAATATTTATGAATTGTGGAGATAAGAAGTTATCAAAGATAGAAATTAAAAATAGAAACTCTAAAAAGTAAAATATATATTGTCTATCAGGTTAATATGGAAGATGTATATTGTAATATGTATATTTGAGAAGGGTAGATACAATATCTTGTATTTATGGTAAGGCTGGTTATAGTATAGGAATCTATTCCCGAGGCTTACTTAGTTATTGTTATTGGTATATGCTCTATTTAAGCAACCTGTTTTTCAAGCTTGTTGATCAGTTTTATGCTCGTTGATCAGGCAATTTGAGCACTGCAACGACTACTTCTACCGGTCAACTGCTCGTTTCCACAATTAGTGTTCAAACTCCAACTGCTTTATCTCATAGCATCTTGAGAGTTTGAGGGAAGTGAGAAATTAAAGTATATATTGTCTATCATGTTAATATGGAAGACGTATATTGTAATCTGTATATTTGGGGAGTTTGAGGGGAGTGTGAAAGGAAAATATATATTGTCTATCAGGATAATATAGAAGGTGTATATTGTAATCTATATATTTGGAAAGGGTAGATACAATATCTTGTATTTATAGTAAGTTTGGGTATAGTATAGGAATCTGTGATTTATTTCTATATTTTTTTATTTGTAATTTGTCTATAAAATACAAGTTCAAATATTCATACGATAAATGAACACTGAGTCTTTTTAGAGAAACCTAAGACTCTTCACAAAAACTACGACTAATACACATGGTTTAGTAGAACTTCAAGTTGGATAATGAATGGGTAGATGTATTGATGCCTCAAATTTCAAGTTAATTTGATGTATGAAAAAATAAAAACAAAATATAGAGTACACTCTCAAAAAGTGATATTTAAATTTAAACTATCATTATCATCATTCAAGTCTTATCTTAATTATTTGGGATCGGTGCTAAAAAAAAAATTATAAAATATGAAAAATATTTGTAAATTTTAATTTAAAATAATAAATTTACAGTAATTTTCCCATTTAAGGCTGCGTTTCTATTAGACAAACTACAAAATCACTACGGTATGTGGCAATAACTATTTTACCACTTATGCCAAGGAGCCCCCTACACTTTGCTTGCGGTAAAAGTGCTTTCCTTTAGAGAAACCAACAAAAGTATTCATTTATTTATGGTGATTGACTAAGAAAATAGCTGCATATATGAAATATGGTGATAAGCAAGTGTTAATCTATGAGAAGGCAAGAAAATAAGATGCTTTCACTGTTAACAAAAGTGACGTAAAGTAAATAGGAAGTCGAATGATATAAAA